AGTCTCCAACTCTTCCCAAAGTTGTCTCATGTCTTTCTTACTCAAAGTAAAACCAGAGCACTTTCAGACCCTGCCTTAAATTTCCTTGAACGTTTCTACAGAGGTACCCGAGTGAATCTTTTGAGAGCAAATGCGTCTGAACTTGAGATTCGTGCTTAGGAACCGCCACAACTCCTACATCAACGTGATGGATCGTTTACCATCAACCTCCACCTCCAATCACAGATGACTGAACTGGTTCAGAATCTCAAACAACAACAACACAGGTCAGTCAGATGGACTTCTTCTGCCAGGTACGGTAAGGTTATGTTAGATTAAGTTAGATTAATGAACAATGCTGTAAGAGTGGAGTGGACCTGGATGACCCCTTTAACATTAAAACCCTGATCCTGCTCCCAGTCCAGACCGCAGTCCTGGTCCTGGTCCCGATCGCAGACCTAGTCCTGGTCCTGGTCCTGGTCCCGATCGTAGACCTAGTCCCGGTCCTGGTCCCGGTCCCGATCGCAGACCTGGTCCTGGTCTCATTTCCAATCACAGTCCTGGTCCTTTACTGTGTGAAATAGAAAATCAGAACTCACATGAAGTTGTTGAAGGGGACAGTTTGATCCTAAAGCCAGCGTGTTACAGGTTTCCTCCACCTACGTGCCGATGAATCACATTCCGGTGAAACCTGTAATTTCCTGATGGATCACCATGAACTATCTGTCCATCCGTCTGATTTTCATTCCCTCTGCATTCTCCACAGCCTCCTCTCATTTCCTTTCCTACATTTGTTTTCCCGTTTACATTCTTCTCTCTTCTGCCTCCATCTCAGCGAAGAAGGAATGATTTTACTGAGTCTGTCTGCACTTGTTCTCCCCCGAAACAAATGGAAAACCTAACAAGTCGTAGATCAATGTGTTGGGAAAACAATGTTTCAGAAGCCCAAACAAGTTTAAATCAATCCACAAAACACCAGTCTACATCAGGGAAAGAGGTGCGGCTGAGCTGGACTGGGATTACAAACCGACACTATGGGTGTGGACCTTCATGATGCGTGAGACAGTTTCAGGCCAGGATGGATCAATGAACACATTTAAATCTATTTTTTCCAAATTTTTATCTTAGTTTAAATACAACCTAATCTATCTGGTTGTACAGTGTGGGTCATAAACCTTGTAGCATCGTAACAGGATGAAATCCTCCTCATGCTGACGGATGGAAAATGTTTTATGGAAGAGTAATACCCGTGAAAGCAAAGCAGAGCTGCCTTAAAGTCCTGGAGCTTTGATAAAGTTGGACTTCTCAGGCCTCAGATGGTTACTTCGCTTCAGCCTGAGGACTTTCCTGTGTGCGTGCCGATGCCAGGCGGTTGGAATATGAGTCCGTAGTGAAGGGAAGGGCAGCAGGAATGAAAGAAAGAGAGTCTGGGATGAATAATAATGAAAGTCCTGCAGGCCGTGGAGGCTTTTAGTGGCTTTCATCCTAACTCCATGTGCACGGTTAAATGAAACATGGAGTCAGAGGAGCTCACATCTGAATTATTTCTATAAAGGTTGCAAATTCAGCAGGTCGACCGTAAAGATCCAGATTCTGGTATGTGGGAGATCTTTGCGTTCGTGAGAACTGGTTTTATCTGAGAGGAGGTTAAACAGGCCCCCAGCAGCCATACCAGTTCAGAGTCAGATTAACCACACACACACACACACACACACACACACACACACACACACACACACACACACACACACACACACACACACATGCGCGCGGCTGTGTGAATTTCAAAATAAAACACAAAATCCCATGTTTGCTTTTACTTTGAAATACACAAATGGCTTTTCTTGTTTTGTGTTGTAAATCTTAAATGTTCTGAAATGTGAAAACACACCTCGTCATGCGTTTCTTCATCAACTTGGTTTAGTGTTGAAAAAAACTTTGATGTTAAATTATGAAATGGTTCCTTTATTGTTCCTTCTAGATCCAGATAAGGTGATAAAGGTAAGCCCTCTGCTGGGCTTGATCCTGGTTGGCTCTGACATCATGCAGACGTAGGTGATGATAATCTGATCCTCTCTCCTGACTACTCTGCCTTTAAACCGGAGGAACTGCAGGTACAACACTAACAGATCCCAGATCAGCCTCATGAGGCATGGACTGCCCGTCACCGACAGGCCTGTTGTGTTGACAGAACCGTCAGAGGAACTGAAGAATGAGGGCCAGCATGATGTTCATAATGAATCAAGGTTCTGTCTGCAGGACTGAAGAATGGAGATGCTGTGGAGAACACAGACAGCTGCACAGATGCTGTCGTCGCTCCACCAACAAACCCATAGTTTTAGTTCCCGCTGTCGTTCTTGTGGTTTTATTTTGACAGGTTTGGTCGTAACATTTTAATTTAACTATAAATGCAAATTCCTAATATGTATGTTTATGTGGGTTACTGTTCTGTCTTTACCACAGATCTTGTCTCCAGCTGCTTCGCCTCATCGTCATGTTGAGACGCACCAAAAAGTGGCAGAAAAACAGGAAATGACATCAACCTGGTTTACTGTCCAATCACAGAGAAGAGTCTGAAACTATCAGGATATTTTCTGATCTGTGTCAGGAGCTGTTCAGCAGCTCAGAGGAGGGATTATTTACTCTCTTGTATCTGTGACTTATCAGGCTTTGTTTGTAAACACTGAAACAACAATAATTCATGTGTTTACACAAGTACCATTCCTGTTGAAGGTGCTGGAGAATATAGTATATGCGCAAATGTCTGCACACATGGACACAAATTCTTTCCAAGATGTTTTTGAGTCTGCCTTTAGGCCACACCACAGTACAGACTCTGTCCTAATTAGGGTGCTTATTGACTTTCTGGCAGGATCTGATTCTGGGTCTCGGGTGCTGCTGCTCCTGTTGGACCCGTCTGCTGCCTAAATACAGTCGATCATTGCATTCTGTTGGATTGGGTCTTGGGTAGGGGTGGCAAGCATTGCAATGGTATGGTTTCACTCATATTTATTAAACCGTTCAGTTACTGTCCAGCTTGGAGACTGCACATCAACCGCATGCTCTCTGCTCTGGGGTATGCTGCAGGGCTCCATCCTTGGACCATTCCTTTTTCAATTTATCTTCTGCCTCTCGGCTAAATCTTTGGCTGGTATGGTATCAGCTATCATATTTATGCTGATGACTGCCAAATTTATGTGGCACTAAAAGGACAAAAACACAGACTCTCGTCTCTCTGCTTACACGGAGGACGTAAAGCTAAAATCTGAGTCCATCGTTTTAATAACTGAAGTCCCTCTTGCTCTCACTCGGGCTTGATTCTACAACGTTAATCCACAAGCAGTGTGTCACAAGTCTTAGGGTAAAATTGAATGCCGACCTCCCAATGACTTCTCAGAAAAACTTTATTGCAAGGTCCTGTTTTAATCAGTTACGTCGCCTGGCTTGTCTTAGATCTATTCTGCAGTAGAGACATTTGGAATCAGTTATTCACACCTTCATTACCTCCCTCTTAGACAATGCCAACGCCCTCCTCACTGGTATTCTAGCTCAGTATTAAATCAGCTGCTAGGTTCTGGATGAAGACAAATGGACGTAGCCACATCACCCCAGTCCAACTTAAGTTTGAATAATAAATGAGGAGAAGTTTTAAAGCAGGGGCATCAAACTCAAATTCACACTGGACCGAAATGAAAAACTGGAATGAAGTCGCGAGCCAAACTCACAGTTGTACGGTTGAAATTTTTCATTTGGAAACAAACTTATTTTTATAGTAACACTGAATGTGGAATAACCAAATGACACATGAGCAAGTCCATTTTAAATAAAGCACACATCAGTGGTATTTGTTACTTTTATCTCACTTTTAAAATTAGTTTCATTCCTTAAATTGTGTCTACATACAGCACTTTTAAAATTTTGATATTTTGAATCTTTTAAGTATTTCTATTTTATGTTTTCTTGTTGTTTCCTCTTTATTCTTATTTTTACTCTCATTTGTTGCTCCTGTAATGAATGCTATTGTTGCTGTGACTCCAAGCTTTCTCCACTGAGGGACAATGAAGGGATTTTCAATTTTATTTCTATTCTTCTATGTGTAATCTTTCCTGTTTTAAAGTAGGTTAAATCTTTTTTCACAGGCCAACAACATAAATAAAAAATAGTAATTCTCTAATGAAAATGCAATATCTCACCTATTAACTTTCATGCTTTGGAGCAGAAAAGGTTAATAAAAGCAAAATAATTTAATCTGAGTTTTCTCCACTCTGATTTCCTGTGATGCTCACCTGTTCCAGCCAGACCTGCATCTGTGGGGTTGGGCTCTGAGCTGAGGAAGGAGTTCATCAGTGAGAAACAGTTGCTCACACAGGTTTGTGTTGCTGGACATGGAGAGCATCCGGACCACGCAGTTGTGTCGGGGAGGGGGATAAAAGCTGCAGCAGCCACAGAGTCATACTGATTTGAGCGTGTCGCTAAACTGGAGTTAAATCGTCTCGGTCTGGAAGATGCGCTTTCTATGTCAGCAGCAAACAGATTACTGAGCTGTTAAAATCCATTTCTGGGCTTCAAAGTCGGCTAATTACTGAGTAAACGTGGCGCTGAGTAAGAGGAGTGTTTTCAGTTTGTCCGAGGCAGAGGAGGGAATGCTGCAGATGCTGATGCTAGTCGCATGGATGCTAATGAATGTAAACAGAAAGGAGGGGCGCGTTCACGGATGCGCTAACGCCGTAAAGTACAATGGGATTTGTAGTCTTTGTGGCAAAATTGGCCGGTGGGCCAGTTTTAATATATATTTGATATGTGATCTCGCGGGTCAAATAAAAATAGACCACGGGCCAAATTTGGCCCGAGGGCCTGAGTTTGGCACCTGAGGTTGAGTAAAATAAATAGTTTATACTAGAAAAATGAAGAATGTTTTAATGACATTAATTCTGCATCATTTATTATATTTAATTTAGAATGTGTTGCTTTTTGCATTCAGTTTTTATTTTGGTTCAAAAAAGGGTCTGGAGAGGCTTAAGTGTTAGCACAAATATATACATTTATTTTGAAAGGAAACACATTAACTGTCATGGTGCAGCACACGCCTTCAAGTGAGACACAAGTTGCCTTTTCTTCAAAACGAGAGACAAAAATAGCTCCAGAAAAGATCATTCTGCACACTCGTGATCAGGAATTGCACTTGTGAGAAAAAGAAAACAGCACATTAGACCTTTTCATCACTTCTTTCTTCACATACCAGAAACACACAGATTTCCAAACTTCCTCCTCACTTCAGCAACCCAATCACATTCCATCACTTTCTGGTGACACCCCTGTTCTGAGCAGCTTAGTTCCTCAGCAAACCCCTCTAACAAAACATCACTTTACCGTACAAACATGTGCAGTGTACATGGAGGGAAAGAAGGCGCTGCATGACTCCTGACCAAACACCTCGGCCTTCTGAAGTTATGTGCTGACATCACCTCTTGCGGCGGTGCAAATGTTACTGTGCTTTCTGTTCATCACAAATGAATCAGCAGTGTTTTCTGAATTTGGGTCTGCGTCATGCTGTCCCCAAACTTCCCCTTCAATATGAAGTACTTCATCAGCTCCATTTCCTCCATCTCCGTCAGTGCATGCTGACCAGGCCCTCTGAACGGGCCTCAGCTGTCCTGGGTCTGTTTTAGTGGGAAGGCACAGCAAGAAGGCACATCACATTTTTATAATTACATCTATGGAAAAGTCAGCCATTTCCCAATGGACATCCATCCTCCTCAGACAGTTTCATCATTCATCGGCTACACAAGCACGCTGGAGCAGGAATCAGGTCAGCTTGGTAGGATTCTCTCTGCTCCGTGTGCTCGCTTTGCTAAAAAAGCTGCAGCTGTTTGCTTTAGCTCAGTTTCTGGCCCAGAGCTGGTTTGAACCCTGCTAGTGTTGTTCTGCAAACATCCTGATGTTTCACCAGTAAGGCACGGTACTGTCGATCTGACCGCAGCTCTGCCAGCCAGGGAAAAGTCCACTGGACATGCGTGGGCTGCCAAACTGATCAAACTCGAGCTCCAGGAGCTTCCCGCCCCCGGCTTTGTGCTCCACCAGCTTCTCTTGCTCAGCAGAAAGTGTGTCAATGTCCTCTCCAGTCCAGCCCGTGTGTTTGAGTGTATAATTCTTGCCATCATTGTTGTCCCAGTAGGTCTGGCCCTGGACCTTGAAGCAAATGCAGAACTCGACCCGGTTTCTTGGTGGGATGTAGGAAGGCAGCTCCACGTCAAATGCAAAGGTGTCAGTTTCCTGGCAGCCATAGACGTTGTTCATGAAGGTGCACTCCACGTTGGTGAAGCTGGCCCATGAGTCGTAGGTGATACGCACCTGCACAGACTTCTCAAAGCCGATATTCCGGACCTTGATGGTGCCAGTCAGGGAGCGCTCCTGCAGAGAGCAGTTCTCCAAGCAGACGGAGTTCTGAATCAGACGGTTTCGGAAGTCCAGGTAGTCAGCCGAGGGCTGTTTAAAGTCAAGCGAGAGGCTGCGACACGAGCTGATCTTTAGATCCATGGTGGCTGCTTCCAGGTCCATCATTTCAAACTGCAGCTCCTCTGTGATCCCATCGACCAACTTGTTCTGATACGGCTCGTCTTCAAACTTAGAGAAGACATGGATGGCTGTAAGCGACATGCCCCTGGTGTCTGCAAACACCACCCTCTTCTTACAGGCCTTGTTCTTCCAGGCCACATGGCTGCCATCGTCCACGACTCGGCGCTGGTGGCTAAGACAGGGCCTCAGGGGTTTGTAGAGCTGCTGGCCGCAACTTCGAGTGTTGGGCTGGTTGGCCCTGTTCTTGGCCTTCTGCACATCCCCGTAGGAGCTGATGAAGCTCCGAAAAGGGGGTGGAGAGTGGCTGATGTAGAATCTCATTGCCACGTCCGTCATCACGGGGCCAGGCATTACTGATGGGCTGAAAGACGTGAGCACACTGAGGGAGGAGGACAAGAAAAGGAGACATTTAGGGGAGCGAGCTTATTACAGAGAAGCAGAACAGAATCAAGTTGGAAAAGACGATAACGTGTTTGTTTAAAAAGTCTGACAAACATAAAGGAGAACCAGCAGTTCAGCCTGCTCCTTACCTTGCAGCACTCATGGACTAGAGACTCAAACGCCTCAGAGGAGAGGAGGAGAAAGTCTTCAGAATGAGCAGCTTTCTCTAGAAATGCATGCTGCTGTCACACCCCCTTCTCTCTGCTGCCTTTTCCACTGAAGTGGCTCAGCACTCGGGGATTTCAACTGCCACATACAGACTAACGCAATCATATGGTCCCTCCAGCAGCCAATGAGGTGTGAGAGGAATTCCTCCCTGGCCAATGGGCTTGGACCTGACATGGCTACTGGCCAGCTGAAGGGGGTGTGACGCCTCATGGCTGAGATTCCTCAACCTGGTGCCTCAGCTGCTATTTGAGACCCATGACAGACCTCTGCTGGTGTCAGAGGAGATCTTCTGAGGCTCGGCTGCAGAGAGCTGGAGCTCCTCTGAGAAATGAGCTTCTGTCAGGATTATTTACGACTCACTGATTGAGTTAAACCAAATGAAAGCTTGATGCGGTGGTAGAGGTTTAATCAAAGGGTTTAACCCTGTAAGGATTAGTTTCTGCAAACACCGCTGGATGTTGTTTTGTCTCATTGTTTGCTTTGATAACAGACATTAATGAGCTCTTTTCTCTCAAGCATCCACAATAAAAGGTTATTTCACAGGCAGGAGCCTCGAGGGTTTGGAGGCTGTTGCCGTTTTCTTGTCCATATGTTGACTCAGGAACTATTTTTAACGTTTATTTGCTTCATTGATTTCTGGCGGTGGGTTAAACGTTATCCTCTGATAGGGCCGACCGGCCTCAGCAGTCAGGACTTTTAAACTCCCTGTTAGAATGAGTGAGCCTCTGTTTTGTTTTTCACTTTTTCTGGGAATTGGCTTTACCTCACCACGTGGTCAGATCCTGCTGTGAGGCTGAGAGTAGGAGGACCTGAGCGCAGGTACCAGAGAACAAGCATCAAACCGGTCATTTAGAACACTTAAGTCTGGCAAAAGTTATTTTTCGGTTTAGTCACTGTTTAACCCTCTGGGGTCCAGGGTGTAATTTGTCGTTTTGACTAATTTAGAGTTTTCCTTTGTATTTCCAAAATAAAAACCATAACCACTGCCTTATGTGGTATCAACCTTTTCAGCACAACCTGGACTTTATGAATGTATACTTATTTTTTATATTTGGACGTAAAGGGGTTGCATATTAGACCTTAAATCACTCAAAAACATAAAATCCGAATTAGAAAAAAGTTGTTTATTTTACTGTGAAACCAACAAACATTTATGACGAATGTTTTTTATAATTTAGAATGGTAATCTAGACTGTACATTTATAAAAAATATGAATAAATATAGCAAATAACACATTTTTAAATAAATTATTACTGTCATGGTCTGCATCTGCCCCTTCCTTCATGTGCCTCCGGGTGTTCTCCATCCCTCTCTAGATTCCTTTTCATGTCTCTTTGCGCCCTCATGTGTCCTATGTCTGCGTTTTCCTCATGTGTCTTCTGGTTTTCCCCATTTGGCCCCTAGATCTCCAGCCCTCTAGGTTTCTCAAGTCATTTCCTTTAGTTACAGCCTTTCATGATTTAGTATGTTTTTTCCCGTCAGTGTTTATTATTTTTCTCCCCCCTCCCTTTGAATTGTAGTTATGTTTCCTGCTCTTTTGTATTGGGCTTTATTCTTAGGTCAGGTTAGTTTCTCCCCTGATTAGTCATTGCCTTCACCTGGTCCTCCTCCCACACCCCACACACCTGCAGCTCATCTCTCTCTCATCCTCCCTGTGTATTTAAGCCCTGTCTTGTCTCAGTGTCTTGTCGGGGCAATGGTGGGACTTCCCACCGGCCGCCTGATAGACCCAGCAGCAGGAAGAAGAGAGCAGCAGTGTTGGAGGCTACGGCTCGGAAAAACGGACTATTGTCATCGGAGCATGTTGGCACTGAAACGTTCCCGCCGGCCGGGTGGAACTTGGTCGAACGGAAATCAATGGCGGGCAGGCGCGGCTGTTTGGTGAATGAGAAGGAGTGGGGAGACATGGGGGACTGTGAGAGTGAGGACAGCAATTTAGAGTTGAGTTTTCGGCGGGAGTCGATGAAATTGAAGAGTTCATGGAGGATATGAATTTAGTCTGTTTAAATGATGGTAGTGGGACAAGGATGAACGTGACTACGGGTAAAACCTCGGCTATTGATCTAACAATAGTGTTGAATGCCTTAGCGGGAAACTGTAATTGGGAAGTTCGGGACTGTAATCTGGGAAGTGATCATTATATAATTTATACAAAACTTTATAGGAGTAAGGCAGTATATCTGGACAAAAGTGATGGTCGTTGGGTATTTAAAAAAGCTGATTGGGATAAATTTAGACTTATGTGTGAGGAAGAGAATGGAAGGATTGATATGGAAGGGGATATAGACATGGTGGAACAGATTTTTAGGAGAGTGATAATTGAAGCGGCGAACATTACTATTCCTAAAATTAAAGGGACCATGAAGAAGAAGAATGTTCCATGGTGGAATGAACAATGTGAAAAGGCAATTAAGGAGAGAAATAAAAGTATGAAAGTTTTGAGAAAGTCTCATAATTTTGACAGTTTGTTGAAATATAAAAGATTACAGGCTGAAGCTAGAAGAGTGGTTAAGAGAGCGAAAAGGGAAAACTGGAGAGGGTTTTGTGATAAAATAGGAAGGACTACGTCCGTAGGTGACATTTGGGGTATGATTAGGAAAATGAAGGGGGTTTATAGAGAGTTCAGATACCCGGTTCTCAAGGTAGGTGAAGAGGTTGCTGTTAACAGAAAAGAAAAAGCTGAAATGTTGGCTAAAACTTTTGTAAAAATTAATAGTGATGATAATTTGTCGGAGGATAGATGGAGAAGAAGAGAAGAAACCAGAAGGACCAATATTGTTGAGGATGATGGTGGGCGGAGACAAACAACAATTGACACTCCATTTACAGTTATTGAACTAGAGCGAGCGATGGGGAGAACTAAAGTAACGTCGTCTGGTAAGGATGATATTAATTATGAGATGCTTAAACATTTAGGGGATAAGATGAAGGGAAGGCTGTTGGAGTTATATAATAAAGTCTGGAAAAAAGGAAAATTACCGAAAAATTGGAAAGAGGCAGTGATAATTCCGATAATTAAACCTGGGAAAGACCCAAGTATTCCTGAGAACTATAGGCCGATAGCTTTAACGTCTCATATAGGTAAAGTAATGGAAAGAATGATTACGGGTAGGTTAAATTATTATTTAGAAAGTAGGAATTTGTTAATGAAATATCTAAATGGGTTTAGGACTGGTAGAGGAACGATGGACGCCATAGTGAGTTTGGAAAATGACATTAGGAAAGCACAAAACGATAAAGAGTTTAGTTATAGTTTATTTTGATATTGAGAAAACTTATGACATGGTGTGGAAGGAGGGCTTGCTGATTAAATTGAAAAGGTTGGGGATAGAGGGAAGAACATATGATTGGATTAAGGATTTTTTGTTTAATAGATACATTCAGATAAAAATAGGTGATAGTTTGTCAGAGGGTTATAGAGTTGACAATGGGACGCCACAGGGAAGTGTGATCAGTCCTGTACTATTTTCTATTATGATCAATGATGCGTTTGAAGAGATAGGGTATGATGTTGGGAAAGCATTGTTTGCAGATGATGGAATATTATGGAAAAGGGGAAGGAAAATTCAATACTTGCAGAAGAAAATTCAGGAAGCAATAATTAAAGTGGAGAATTGGTCTTTTGAATGGGGATTTAAGTTTTTGGTGGATAAAACAAAAAGTATGGTCTTAACAAGAAAAAGAAATGTTAAGATTGAGCTTAAACTATGTAGGGAACCTTTGGAGCAAGTTCGTAGTTTTAGATATTTGGGTGTTATATTTGATGAAAGGTTGATTTGGAAGGAGAATATTAGTAACATAGTTGAAAGATGTAAAAAGGTAATAAATGTTATGAGGTGTTTAAGGGGTAATGATTGGGGGGCTAGTACCAAGGCTTTAAAACAGGTATATATAGCAATGATCAGATCGGTTATTGATTATGGTAGTATTGTATATAGTTCCGCAAGTAAAACATTACTGAAGAAGATTGAAGTTATTCAAAGTCAGGCTTTGAGAATTTGTTGTGGAGCAATGAAAACCACACCGATAATGTCCTTGCAAGTGGAAATGGAAGAGACGCCATTGCCTCTAAGATTCAAGTTGCTGAAATTAAATTATTGGGCTAGTGTACGAGGTAGTACAGAGGATGTGCATATGGTTAAGGGAGAGATGACAGTAGGAGGGCAATGTTTCAATGGACAGTATGAGAGCATGGTCTGAAAAGCGTGTAGAGTGGCGGAAGCTTTTAAATTAAATGATATAGTTGTTCTTGAAAATTTTTTATATTCGCCTACTCCGTTTTGGTTGTTTCCAAAAGTGATGATAGATTTTCATGTTCACAATGTAATTAAAATACAGAAAGGTGTGGGAAACTGGGATAATGTTGTGGAAGAAAGATTAAATGACGCTCATCAATCATTCGTCCCTATATATACTGACGGGTTGAGAGAGTCAGGAAATTTAACAGGGTTTTCTTTCTGGATTCCGAAATTTAGTAAATATCATAAAAGCCGAACATCTAATAATCTGTCAGTATATACAGTGGAAATGTTAGCCATTTCATTTAGTTTACAGTGGATAGAACAAAACAGTGTTAGGAAAAGTATTATTTGCTCGGACTCCAGATTCCAGATTTCCAGATTTCAGATTTATTGGCCAAGTAAAAGTACATTTACAAGGAATTTGTCTTCGGTGGATGTTCGCTCTCTAAAACAGACAACAACCACAATAAATGAGAATAAAAATACCTACAAACACATAAGAACATGTATACCCACACACATGTTCATTTACACACACACATATATACATATATGCATACCAACACACATGCACGCACGCACACACACACACACGCATGCACACACACACACACACACACACACACACACACACACACACACACACACACACACATCCATAAGCATACTGAATAAGTATTAAAAACTATAATAAAAGGATGGTAAAATAATCTACAGATTCAGGAGAGAAATGGCTGAAGGAAATAAACTGTTCTTGTGTCTGGTAGTGTTTGTGTACAGTGATCTGTAGCGTCTGCCAGATGGGAGGAGATGGAAGAGAGTAGATGCAGGATGTGTGGCATCTTGGACAATAT